GGCTTTAGAGCTCATCATAGCACTGAAACAGCTCTGGTGAAAGTCACTAATGATATTCTCATGGCCTCAGATAATGGACTTGTATCTGTGCTCGTCCTGTTGGATCTTAGTGCTGCATTTGATACAGTTGATCAGAATATTCTTTTAGAAAGACTTGAATATTTTGTTGGAATTAAAGGAACAGCACTAGACTGGTTTAAATCTGATCTATCTGATCGAATTCAGTTTGTTCATGTTAATGATAGATCTTCAACACGCTCAAAGGTTACCTGTGGAGTACCACAGGGATCAGTGCTAGGACCAATTCTCTTTACTTTATACATGCTCCCAATTGGTAGAATTATTAGACAGCATGGGATTAATTTCCACTGTTATGCTGATGATACCCAGCTATATCTGTCTATAAATCCAGATGAAGCTAACCCATTACATAGATTACAGGCATGTTTCAGATTGATCTCAGATAATAAAGTAAAAAAAATCTTGGTGTTGTTTTTGATCAAGACCTGACATTTATATCAAAAAAGTTTCTATATTTTTCTTCTTTCATCTGCCCAATATTGCAAAAATGAGCAATCTCCTGTCCAGGGGTGATGCTGAGAAACTAGTCCATGCATTTGTTACTTCAAGGCTGGACAATTTTAATTCTTTACTATCAGGAAGTCCACAAACTGTAGTTAAAAGCCTTCAGCTGATCCAAAATGCTGCAGCCAGAGTTCTGATGAAAATGAAAAAGAGAGATCATATCTCGCCTATCCTGGCTTCTCTTCATTGGCTTCCTGTTAAATCAAGAATAGAATTTAAAATCCTCCTTCTCACATATAAAGCCTTAAATGGCCAAGCTCCATCTTATATCAGAGATCTGATTGTTCCTTATGTTCCTAACAGAGCACTTTGCTCTCAATCTGCAGGTTTACTAGTGGTTCCTAGAATTTCTAAAAGTAGAATGTGAGGCAGATCTTTTAGTTATCAGGCTCCTCTCCTGTGGAACCAACTACCAGTTTTAGTCCGTGAGGCAGACACCTTGTCTACTTTTAAGGCTAGGCTTAAAACTTTCCTTTTTGATAAAGCTTCTAGTTAGAGTGGCTCAGGTTACCCTGAGCTATCTCTATAGTTCTGCTGCTATAGGCTTAGACTGCTGGAGGACATAGGGACCCCTTTTTCATCATTCTGCTTCATTCTATCTCTATTCTCCCACTCTGCAGAATCTGTTAGTTCAATCTCTAACGTTCTGCTCTCTCTGCTTTTTCTCATAGTAGCTTCATCTGGTCTGTTCCTGTTTGGCTGTGACTCCATCCTGGAGAGAAATATCAGCTGTGCTGCTGCCATCAACACCTTTGTTTCTAGATGTTGGAGCTTGGCCTGTTTTCCAGTGTAGTCCTGTTTCTCTGACTGTGACTAACTGGATGTGCTCTCTTCATCCTCTGACATGGGAGCTGGCTCGGAGCTCGTCTGCCTGGCTGTGTGTTTCCTGGACCGGGCCGCCTGTGGAGCTGGTTGACAGTTAAGCCCCTGTCAGACCTTGCTGATTTATGCCTGATGTGCCAGAATCTCCTAAAACGCTCACATACGCTGAACCTTCTATGGATTCTTTCAATTTTGGGCATATACATAGAATATTCATAATGAGTCCTGAACTCATGTCCAAAGACAATGTAACTTGGGCATAACACAAGGCAGCATAAGGCCCACGAAATGCCACAAGCCAGTGGCCTGAGGGTGGCAACACTAAGCCCGGAGGCGCCCGACCTGCATGTTAAAGATTTCTTTGATCGTGGTATTATGGCCCACGCATGAGCATACGCCTGCATACATCAAGAGGCACTTGCCATTTGTCGACATGTGCCAGGGTTTTTGCCAGAATTTTCGTACGTCAGGCATACAGGTTTAAATCATCACGGTGTGACAGGGGGTTTACCTTTTGTATCTATGCTTCTTTTTCTATGTCTGCTTCTGTCTCCTTGAACCCCAGTGGGCCTCAGCAGATGGCCGCTCACACTGAGCCTGGTTCTGCTGGAGGTTTCTTCCTGTTCAAAGGGAGTTTTTCCTCCCCACTGTCGCTACAAGCATGCTTAGTGTGAGGGATTGCTGAAGAGTCAATGAGTCGATGCAATCAGCTGGTTTTCCTTAGATAGAAAACTTTGAATCAATCTGACTGGATGATCTGGTTGAATTGAAGCTATAGAAACAAGCTAAATAGAATTGGGAAAATTAATTATATACAACAGGACCCACAGAACTAACATTGAGAGCCTCCAAACGGATTTATTTGGCTGTGGAAACCAAGTATGCCTAAAATGTTATTGGCTAAATGTTTCATATAAAGCAAAACTTCTGAGAGAAGCAATATGGACAACTTTTAATGTGAATAAAAATTCTAGTTTATTGAATGTGACATACTAACTAAATCACTTAAGATAAAAGCATCAGGTAAGTTTTGATAAAACAAGGATATTCAACAGCTGTTTTAATACTTTAGGATGTGCCAGTGATTACTCTATGTGGGCAACCATTGATAAACTGGCTGTGTGGAAACATTAGAATCTGCAAGTAATCAGATCTTATGGAAACATCTATTGCTTCTGTTGTCTTCATCTTGCAGTCATCACTTCCTGAAACAGTCCTGCAAAGAGCAAAGATGACTGAACAAACAGCGCCACCATGTGGTCATCACATCACAACACTTGGCTAGAAGTGAAAAAGTGAAAGAAGCTCAGTTGGAGGGAAATAAAATTTGTTTTGTTTGTGGTGGATTTTGGAAAACCTGGAAAAGTGGGATCAAAACAAGAAAATCAAAGAAAGTGTAAAAAGCAAAAGACAGCAAAATCATGGATTATTGGAGCCTAGAAAAAGAAGTATTAGATTATCAATGACTGCCCCCAGCCCAATGTGAGTCACTGGGAATGATGAACAAACACAGCGCTATGACCGGAAAGTGCAGTAAAACGTCGCTGATGATAAAAAAAAAAAAAAAAAAAACTGCACTAACTAACTAAAAAATAAAACAACTCAACAGATTTGTACACATCTCAGAAAGCATTTTCCTTTTGGGGCATTTTCAGCCAGGTCCTTTTGCAAAATCCCCTTTAAGTGAAAGAATGTATGGAGGCCCAGAGGGGTCAACAACATAACCGGGCAACCATAGAAATGTGCATTACTTGCCTTGAAATCTCTGATTTTTCTCATTTATTTGGTTAAAATTATGTCAAGATCAGTTTTACTGGGAGACAACTTTGGTTCTGGGATTGATATGGATGTACAGACTGTCTCTCTAATGCTACGTTAACACCTAACGCAGCAGAAGCAGCTGGTTTCCATGCAAAGTCAATGTTTGACGCGCATCAAGGCGCAGAAATAGGTCCTGCAGCGTCCCAAAACAAAAATGGAAGCACAGTCAAATGTGTGCGTCTCAAATGTGAACCATATTATGAAACGACATTGTGGATTGACCGATCTATCCTCTAGCATCGCACGACAACCATCACCAAGACTTCTAGAATGTGGTTATTAACATGGAGGCCACAGTGACCGCCTGGCAACAATGCACGCAAGATGGGAACCGTTAGCCTTTAGATATAAAATCCCATCATGCACCGCAACATATTTTTGCAAAATATGCAAACATAAATTGACAAAATATAAGAGGAACATCGTAGGTTGGTTTAAAGAAAGCATTTAGTTTTATTATAAATTAGTTTGTTGCAAGGATTTTACAGTTTGAAGAAAAAGAAAATGACCCCATATGCCAACCGTCACAAGGATGTGCATGACAAGAAAGGGCTATATATACTGCATGCATCAGTTAACATTGGATTACTTCTTGAGTTCCTTAAAGGAATAGTACACCCAAAACATGATTAGCCTTCATTTTCTACTCCCCCCCATGCTGAACAACACTCTGGAGTACTTTTTTGATATCTCAAATTCATCTGGAGATCTGGGAGGCTTCTTGCTGTCTGCTGACATTCAAATAATGGAGGTCTATGGCGCCCGAGGCAGAAAGGTCCATAAAAGTCCACAAAAAACGTGTCAATATTCCTCCATACTGCTCGTCCAATGTATTCCAAGTGTCCTGAGTGGGTAGCGTCCAGAATTTACTCGAAACTAAGTCATTTAGAATGTTTTTAGAGCATAAACAGTAGTGTATAGGATTTCCTAAAAGCGCGTTCACGAGTCTACGGAAACCGCGGCAGACCAAACCAGATGAAAGTGCGCATTCAGCTCGGCAAAGAACTCATGCTCTTCCTCAACACTGAAGTCCTCAGACATTTTTCTTTCGTTGTTTCTTTCTTTGCACAGGTAAACAGCACATTTCTTCTTCTACGCTTGCATTATCGGCAGAGCAGACGCTGAATTGGTTGGTTAGATGCAACTGCAGCGCTCAACCAATAGGCTGCCATTGTAGCCTGAAGACCCCGCCCCTCATTATCATATTAAAGCAGAAGTGAAGAGGGGAAAATAGAATGTGATAAATTAAAAAATAAGGAAATACTTAATGAATAAGGGAAATTGGAAAATGGGAAAATTAAAAATTTTTCAAACAAATCGTAAATGAAAAATAGATAAAAGAAAAATTGGTAAATAAAAAAGGGATATATGAGAAATTGATTAATGAAACCGGGAAATAGGAAATCGGGTTAATGGAAAAAGGAAATTGAAAAATGGTTAAATTAAAAAATAGATTAATGAAAAATGGGTAAAGAAATAAAGGGATTAATGACAAATAGATAAATGAAAAAGAGAAATTGGGAAATTGATAATATGAAAAATAAATAAATTAAAAATTGGTTTAATGAAAAAGCTAAATTATTTATTTAACACATTTTTTATTTATTTCACTCATTTTTTTCATTTTTTGATTTATTTTACTCATTTTTTATTTATTTTACCCATTTATTTATTTAATTTTGGCTGAAATGGCTCTCCATAAGCACAGAGCGGTCATCATGGCAAACAGGCCCCAAAACAATGCTGCATCACCGCCACCTCTTACCAGTAGGTGGCGGTGATCTGCCTTCATGCTGTTTGCCAAGCTTCATTTAACATTACGAATAGGAAGAAAGAACAACAACAAGAAGAGAAGAAGAGAAGTAGTAGTAGTCGTGTACAAAGCCTGTTTCCAACATCCTCCGTATGTTTTCTGATGTGTTTCCGGTTATAAAGCTGTTTTATTTTCAGGCTGTTTTATTTTCAGGCTGTTTTTTTGTGTTCAGAATGAAACCCTCCTGTTAGCTGAGCGGAGCTAACAGCTGATCCAACATGTACACTCTGTTATCTGGGTTCTATAAGTACATGTTCCAGAAGGACGAGTACTGCGTGCTGATCCTGGGTCTGGATAACGCTGGGAAGACGGTAGGAAGCCTCTTCATCAGGAACATGGCGGCCTGGTTCTATTCGGTTTGAATGAAGTTAAAATCTGTCCAAGCGGTTCTGATAGAGAGCTGGTCCACCGCAGAGCTGAAGGCTCCCATAGATGGAGGTCAGAGAACAGGGGAGGATTTAGGACATTTGGGGCCCTAGGCAAAGACAGGCAGGGGCCCCTCTGAATGGAGAAGACATAAACAGACCCATTCTCCAGATAGATAAATGTTAATAGAATAGACATCCATTATCTGTTCTAGGTTGTGTCCCTCTCTTCTTGTCCCTTTTCTTCTTGTTTTCCTCTCTATGTTTTGTACTCAGCTGACTTTTCATGCTGTCTCTAAAGGAATGAAAGATTTTTTCCAAGCACTAAGCTCACTTAGCTGATTGCTCCTTCCTGTGTTTCCAAAAAGGCCAAAGTAAATAACCCAGTCCTTCTTTTCACTGTAGACAAGCCATGATCTGCTTATCTGTTCTCCATTTTTCATTTGGATGAAATAATAGCTGCATGAATCATGACAGCAGACAAGATAGAGGAGAGCAGGAGGCGGGGTTACCAATCTACTCGCTCTGGAGAGCAGAGTTCGCTGCTTTTAGATGTTGTCTCCAAAGTCTCCAGCAGCAGAAAAAAGTCTCTAGATTTGGCGCTAGGAGCTTTTTAGAAATCAAAGTGCTAGAGGGGTCTGAAAAGTGGCTAAATATAGCGACTAAAGCGCTAAGTTGGCAACACTGCTCTTTGCATGGTTTGTTTTCAAATGGTTTGCTGCTGTCTGTTTGGACCTTTCTGAACATGTGCAGCAAATGGACTGATCCAATATGGTGGACACTGAGGGGGGGGGCTGAGACACACTTAATATTATCAGCGTTCTGACGGCATTTTAGCCAAAGGATTTTTATCAAAGACATAATTAATGTGAACAAATAAGGAATAGTTGTATTAACCATACATGGAAACAGAGTTTAATAGGGCCCCAGGAACTTGAGGCCCTTGGCAGCTGCCTACTATTGCCTGATGGTAAACCCCCCAAGCAGAAATTAGAGAAATTTAGAGCTGAAATTATACCAAGATTGTAAAATATTCTATAAATATTTTGCATGTGAGATGAAGAAAAAATATCTTCTGTCAATCTGCTCCATCCAGAACGTTTCCAGAAAGTTTGAGTCTCACCTGTTTCAGTTTTGTAAAACATCCTCTTTAAGGAACCTTTGGCTATCTGATTATTAATCGATTAATCGAAAAAAATAAAAGACAGACTTCTGTCTCCTTGAACCCCAGTGGGCCTCAGCAGATGGCCGCTCACTCTGAGCCTGGTTCTGCTGGAGGTTTCTTCCTGTTCAAAGGGAGTTTTTCCTCTCCACTGTCACTACAAGCATGCTTAGTGTGAGGGATTGCTGAAGAGTCAATGAGTCGATGCAATCAGCTGGTTTTCCTTAGATAGAAAACTTTGAATCAATCTGACTGGATGATCTGGTGAACTGGAAAGTGACCTGAGATGACATGATGTGAATTGGAGCTATAGAAATAAACTGAATAGAATTAAATTGATTTCGTTAGCTGCAGCCTTATTTTTTTTTTACTATTTTGGTATAATTCCTGCTCTAAATGTTTTTTTCTGTCAGCTAAAGGCATGTTTTACAGTCTCTATACTCCAGTTAATGATTCATCATTTACTGAATTATTTGATGATTATTTCATTAATCGATTAATCTGATTAATTGTTTGAGCTTTGGATTTGATAAAAGTATCTTTTTATTCTGGAAAAAGATAATTTAAAGGTAAGGAAGGTTCATAGTGTAGTTGTGTGATTAGGAGGTAACATCTCTTGTTAATGCAGCGATGGATCAGTATTCCAGTCATCGCTGAAGGGCATCATGGACGGCGTCCTGTTTGGAGAGGAGCTGTCTGAGGTGCTGAAAAAGTGTCGCTCTAAGGGGTTAAACACTGCGATCTCTCTCTCTCTGTCTGCAGACCTTTCTGGAACAAACCAAGACCAAGTTCAGTAAAAACTACAAAGGAATGAGTCTGTCCAAAGTCACAACGACTGTCGGTTTAAACAGTAAGTCTGTGTTTCAGGCAGCTTGTCTTTAACTTCATGTCCAGAGTTTCTGCATCAGATCACAGCCTTGTTTCTGCTGCCGAAGCCAGACGTCTGCTCTGCTCTTCTCTTCAAGCTGAGCATCTGATGCTGTTTACTGTCCTGAGACCTGCATCCATTCAAATGTTCTCTCAATTATATCATCATAAAAAAAAGGTTTTCCTGCAGAAACAGATGGACTGACTTTAAACTGCCTTTCAGAAGGAAGATGCTCTAATCGTTCTGTCGCGTTGGATCATTTCTGACGGGTTTTCCTGTTTCTTCGCAGTTGGGACAATTGATGTGGGCAAAGCTCGTCTGATGTTCTGGGATCTGGGAGGCCAGGAGGAGCTGCAGTCTCTGTGGGACAAAGTAGGCTACAAATGAAGCCCCAGCTGTGTGAATCTGAGTCGGTCTGCTGAGGTGGCAGCAACCTTCTCAAAGTGGAGCTAAAGCTGACGTAGAAGCATGACCGACAAAGTTAGAAGTAGAGGAGCCCTGAAATAAAAGAGGAGCGCGTTAGCCTGGAACCTCCCACTGGGAGCCGTCCTGTGGCATTATGGGATGGTTTCGTTTTAAAGCTCCTGTCACACCTTAACGCTTTAGACCAGAGTATGCCTGAAGCACCAAAATCTGGCAAAAACGCTGATATGCCTTTGATAAGTTATAGGTACGCTGGAACACGCTGGAACACGTCGACATACGGCGAGTACGCCAGTGTTGTATGCCGTCAGTTCCAGGTCAGTTATCTGATGGTCGACGTACGTTCAGTGTCAGTTCCTCATCAGTCGTGGCGTCTAGCTGATCCTAAACTTCTGTGTAACTTATCCAGAACTTCTCTCCAGCATATCAGCGTATCTGCCGTGTTCCAGACGAGCGCTGAACGTGTTTCTAACTTCCAGCTACGGTATAATGGCGTATTGGCAGCGTTTTGGTATAAAGGGGGTTCACAGGTAGCCTGACGTAGTCCTATCAATTCTAGTCAGAATGAGTCTGATGCTGCTCCATAGAGCTGTGATTATGGGGCGTGTTTCGAACGAACCAGGAAAAAAAATGCCTCTGCACTCAATTGGATAGACCTACAACCAATAAGAGCAACGGAGTGCGTGACGTATGTTAAGCCACGCATAGTTGTTGTCAACAAAAATCAAAGCGTGCAGTTGCACGCCTAGAATAAGAAGATGAGCCTTGATCGCGTTTCTCTGTTCCTCTTTTAAAATTAATTTGCTGTCGATATCTTCTAGAACAGACCTAATAGCAGAATCTACTCACCTCAACTCTCCAGCGGCAGCCATTGTTGTTGTCACCCAAGCGCGCTTTGGTCACGTGGTTGATTACGTTACTGTTGATCATCTGTCCATCATCGTATAAAGCCCGCCCTGACAATTTGATTGGATCGCCAGAGGGTGGGCGATAATACTCGCGCTACTATGGAGCAGAGCCAGACCGAACTTCCCGACCTCAAACCTTGTGGGCGGGACTAAGTTCGGAATGGCACCCAGGCTAGTTCACAGGAGGAAAGCGTCAGTTCTCCTCCAGACTTCATCCCCATCATAGGGTGAGCCAGAAGGTGAGTGATGGATCCTCCCTGCGTTCACGCCCACCACCAACACACTTCCTAGCAGACATGACGCTCAATCTGCTGACACCAAAAACCTTCTTTCTTAATTTTTATTTATTCTTTTTTTTGGGGGCGGGCGGTAAACAGCAGCTAGGTTAATACTGCAATCAAATAAATCTTTTCATGCAAGCCGGGCGCCTCCGGGCGCATCGCTGCCCCCTCAGGACTCTGGCTTGTTCATTATTTCATGTGCATTATGCTGCTGTGCGTTATGCAGAAGTTAGGCTGACGTTGGTCAGAAGTTCAGGACTCGTTATAAATAATCTATGTATTCGCCCAACATAGAAAAAAACCATAGAAGGTTCAGTGTATGCCAGCAGTTTAGGAGATTCTGGGACATCAGGCAGATCCTGGATAAATCATCAAGGTGTGACAGGAGATTACCTGAGCTTACCTTTGCTGCAGGGTTGAGTTTCTTCTGGAAGAAAGTTCTGGTAATTTAACTTTGCATCATCTTGATAAATGATTTATTGTGGTTTGTGGTGAGCAACAAGTTGGGGCAGCACCGAGTCCAACCACAAAGGAATTCATTGTCTGGATGAAACTATTTAGATTTTTAAACACCAACAGGCCATAATGAAAATGAGCTTAAATAAAACCAAACTAAGGAGTTTATTTTTAAAATGTAAGGAGTAGAAGGAAAAAGTATTTACTAAAAAAAATATTTACTGCAGTAAAATGTAGATGGATAACATTTCTACTGCAGTAAGGAAGTATTTGTACTTTGTTACTTTTTCACCTCTGCTTTTAAGCAACATATTTATGTTGTTTTGTTTTAGATGGAAAAACACATAATACCTAAGAATGAAATGCTAAAGTTAAAAGATTAAGTGAAATAGTTTTCAGTTATTTTAAACCCTGGCAACATTCCCAGAGGGGGAGACAAAACAGAAAAAGGTTAGACCACAGGATGATTTAAACAGAATAACTCGTAAATGCTCGATCTTTCAGGTCTACTTACGATTTATCTGAGGATTAGCGATCACAGACTTTCAGGCTAAAGTGTTTTTCTCTCCTTGAAAATCAGTCAAAAAGTCAGAAAGTCAAAAACAATAAAGGAGGCAAAAACAAACTGTGAAAGAGGAGAAATATGAGGAGAAAATCATCTGGATAAATGTTCAAGTCATCTATTCACCATCTAGCATAAAAAACAGTTAAATATGTTTGTTTTTTTTAACAGTTATTTGTAATTATTCCTCATCTAAACATGTTTTCATCTGTTGGGGACCACAGGAGATAATCCAGACTATTGAAAAAACAACCAGTGGATTAGTAGGCACTAAAATAAGCGTTAGTTTCAGCACTAATGAGACATCTTGTATTCTGTATACAAAGAAAAGAGAATATGGTGGTGAAGATTCTCAGTCATTACAAAAAAGTTCAAAATCAATCCACTGGTCTTTGTTTCTAAGTTTGAAGACGTTTCTCTTCCATCCAGGAAGATTTTTCAATTCAAAATGTCAGAAATAGCGTTTAGTTCCAGGTTTTATCCAGCAGCCCAACAAAGCCTGGTTTTAGTTTAGAAAACATGCAAATAGAAACGGATGAACGGGTCCTCCCCTTTGGAATGGGGTTCGTTTGGCTTCTTTGTTAGCCTGCAATGCCCCATACCTGTCTATGCCTCTGAAAGGGGGGTTGTTATGAAATCTGCATGCAGTATGTATAGCCCTTCCTTGTGATGCACATCATGGTGACGGTTGGCATATGGGGTCATTTTCTATTTCTTCAAACTGTAAAATCCTTGCAGCAAACTAAATTATAATAAAACTAATATTCTCTGATTAAGGTTGCTTTTTCTTTCTTAACATAGATGGCTTCCCTCGCTCTTCTTTATAAAACCTGGAACTCAACGCTTTTTCTGACATTTTTAATTGAAAAATCTTCCTGGATGGAAGAGAAACGTCTTTAAACTTAGAAACAAAGTCCAGAGGATTGATTTAAACTTTTTTGGACTGAACTCTTGACCTCAACGCCTTGTTGTTTAAACTTTGCAGAGAAAGCAAGTGAAATGGTTTATTTTAGGGATGCACGATATAATCGGCCCCCTATCGGTATCAGCCTTAAAACTGAATATCGGACATCGGCCACCCCACCGATATTTAACCCGATATTTGATCAGCTTCTGAGTTTCTAAAGTCTAAAAAAAAAAAAAAAAAAAAATACTCCTTCTTCTTGTTCCTCAGAAACTTATTTTTTACAGACTTAAAAACTTCTAAAGACGAGGGAAAAAATATTGATCCATTAAAATATCCCAATATCTTCATATGCTGATATATTGCCATTTAAAAACACCATATCAATCTCTTTTACTAATGAAATATTGCTATATGTCATCGTTATGCTACGAAATCCCCTGAAAATTCACCAAATGTTGCCATATTTTTATATGTTGATATATTGACGCGGTATCGATCTATTTTACTAACAAAATCTCACAAGAATTTGCAAAATATCACGAGAGTTTGTAACAGAACGATGAAATTTCACCAGATTTTGAAAGTAAAATAGATCGATACCGCGTTTTTAAAAATCTATTTGATATCAGCATATGAAAATATATTTGAGTATATTATTTTTCAAAGTGTCAGAAATGGATAACAAAACTGCTATTTTCAATGACTACTTATTTTTGTCCAGCTTTAACATCGGTATCGATATCGGTTATCGGCTACATGAGTTTTAAAATATCGGATATCGGCCAAAATCCCAATATTGTGCATCTCTAGTTTCTTTATCACCCCAAATCCTCAGAAAGTAAACCTGCTTTAAGCTCTCGTCTCTTTAACGTGTTTTTTTTATGATGCAGTACTATGCAGAGTCTCATGGAGTCATCTATGTGATTGATTCAACTGATGAGGAGCGCCTTTCAGAATCCAAGGAGGCGTTTGGTGAGGATCCATCCTGGTCTTCTAGAACTGACCTGCTAGCCTGACTTTCAGCGGGTTAATCCTCAGTGTTTGTCTTCCAGAGAAAATGATCTGCAGCGAGGCTTTGGAAGGCGTTCCGCTCCTCATTCTCGCCAATAAGCAAGATGTACCGGTAAAAAAACTCGCTTCTCCGTCTGCAGCATGCCACATAGGAGGGGAGGGTTTACAACGCTTTGGTCTCATTAAAAGATGACTTTTAACAACAATTTATTACGGAAGAGGATTAGGGCCACTGGAAAAAAAAAAAAAGTTAACTGATTTTTTTTATTTTATTTCAGTATAGTATGGGAAAAAATTCTGAGAAAAAAGTCAGAATTCTGACTTTTTTCTCAGAATTCCGACTTTTTTCTCAGAATTCCGACTTTATTTTCAGAATTCCGACTTTATTTTCAGAATTCCGACTTCATTCTCAGAATTCTGACTTTTTTCTCAGAATTCTGACTTTATTCTCAGAATTCTGACTTTTTTCTAAGAATTCCGACTTTTTTCTAAGAATTCCGACTTTATTCTCAGAATTCTGACTTTATTCTCAGAATTCTGACTTTTTTCTAAGAATTCCGACTTTTTTCTCAGAATTCTGACTTTTTTCTCAGAATTCTGACTTTATTCTCAGAATTCTGACTTTTTTCTCAGAATTCCGACTTTTTTCTCAGAATTCTGACTTTTTTCTCAGAATTCCGACTTTTTTCTCAGAATTCTGACTTTTTTCTCAGAATTCTGACTTTTTTCTCAGAATTCTGACTTTATTCTCAGAATTCTGACTTTTTTCTAAGAATTCCGACTTTTTTCTAAGAATTCCGACTTTATTCTCAGAATTCTGACTTTATTCTCAGAATTCTGACTTTTTTCTAAGAATTCCGACTTTTTTCTAAGAATTCCGACTTTATTCTCAGAATTCTGACTTTTTTCTCAGAATTCTGACTTTTTTCTCAGAATTCTGACTTTATTCTCAGAATTCTGACTTTTTTCTCAGAATTCCGACTTTTTTCTCAGAATTCCGACTTTATTCTCAGAATTCCGATTTTATTCTCAGAATTCTGAGAAAAAAGTCAGAATTCTGACTTTTTTCCCATGTTAAACTGAAATAAAATTTAAAAATCAGTTTACTTTTTTTTTTTTCAGTGGCCCTAATCCTCTTAATTATCCTTATTAATTATTGATGTAAGACAAGAGTTAGTTAAAAAAAATCACTATCAAGGTATAAGCCGGCTAAAAAACGTTAAATGAAGAGCTTGTAATTCATCATCTGACGCAGAGCATAAAATGTTGTTAAAACTTCCCAGCTGAATAAAATCCTCCATGTTCTGTGTGTCTCTGGAAGTGAAACTCCAGCCTTATTGTGGCTTTAACCTCCACAGAGCCACGGCATCAAGGTGAGCTCCTTCCTGCAGTCTGTCTCTGCGGGATGATAAGCCGCCATCTTTGCTTCACTGATCAGAACATTTAAATCAAGTCAAAATCCTCCTGTAAATAGAGAACTTGTAAAAATCTCCCAAAAAAGACTAAAAACACTAATTAAAAGGCTAAAAATTAGAGGTCCGCTTTGCTCAGGGAAGCAAGGATCCAGGATGGGAAAACAGCTGCACTGCAAAAACCATCTAGAAATAAATAAACATTTTTTAAGTGTATTTACCCTTAATTGGAGCAGGTAAATAAGATAATCTGCGTATGGAATTAGATTTTTTTACTCTTAAAATAAGATTATTAGATATTAGGCACGTGAAATATAAGACAAATCAATTGTTTTTTCTTGTTTTAAATGTAAATCGTCTTGTTTGCAAAGTGTCTCACTTACCTTCTCATTTCAAGAACAAATGCACACATTTTAAGAAAAAAATGACTTATTGAGATTGACATTATTTGCATTGTAGACCTTAAAGGAATAGTTCACCCAAAACATGATTAGCCTTCATTTTCTACTCACCCCCATGCTGAACAACACTCTGGAGTACTTTTTTGATATCTCAAATGCATCTGGAGATCTGGGAGGCTTCTTGCTGTCTGCTGACATTCAAATAATGGAGGTCTATGGCGCCCGAGGCAGAAAGGTCCATAAAAGTCCACAAAAACGTGTCAATATTCCTCCATACTGCTCGTCCAATGTATTCCAAGTGTCCTGAGTGGGTAGCGTCCAGAATTTACTCGAAACGAAGTCATTTAGAATGTTTTTAGAGCATAAACAGTAGTGTATAGGATTTCCTGAAAGCGCGTTCACGAGTCTACGGAATCCGCGGCAGACCAAACCAGATGAAAGTGCGCATTCAGCGTCTGCTCTGCCGATAATGCAAGCGTAGAAGAAGAAATGTGCTGTTTACCTGTGCAAAGAAAGAAACAACGAAAGAAAAATGTCTGAGGACTTCAGTGTTGAGGAAGAGCATGAGTTCTTTGCCGAGCTGAATGCGCACTTTCATCTGGTTTGGTCTGCCGCGGTTTCCGTAGACTCGTGAACGCGCTTTTAGGAAATCCTATACACTACTGTTTATGCTCTAAAAACATTCTAAATGACTTCGTTTCGAGTAAATTCTGGACGCTACCCACTCAGGACACTTGGAATACATTGGACGAGCAGTATGGAGGAATATTGACACGTTTTTTGTGGACTTTTATGGACCTTTCTGCCTGGGGCGCCATAGACCTCCATTATTTGAATGTCAGCAGACAGCAAGAAGCCTCCCAGATCTCCAGATGCATTTGAGATATCAAAAAAGTACTCCAGAGTGTTGTTCAGCATGGGGGTGAGTAGAAAATGAAGGCTAATCATGTTTTGGGTGGACTATTCATTTAAGCTCCGTTTTAAGCAGGTAATAAATGACACACTGAGTTTGATCGGATAAAAAGCTGTGATGTCAGGGAGTGGCTCATTTCTGACAGCTTCACCTTCATGCTTCCTGTTCCTTCTGTTCGCAGAACTGCTTGTCGGTGCCGGACATCAAAACAGCCTTCAGCGACTCTGCACCAAAGATCGGCAAGAGAGACTGCCTGGTGCAGCCGTGCACGGCGCTCACAGGGTAGGACTGCAGCCACGCGTTACCGGCCTGCATGCTGAAAATAGAAGACAAAGAGTTTTTCTTTAGAAGCCAAATATCCATTCATTTTATTCATCTTAATACAAACACTAGGGAGAGGCCGATCCCTGGATTTTACACTTGATTTTTGTTGTTTAAATATGAATGAAAATGTAAAAATAGATGAAAGCCTCACTGTCCCTGTTCCCTGATTTAATTTGGATAATTTAATGTATTTTGAGCTACGAGCTGGAAATGTCCCTAGATTGGACATCAAAAAGCTGGTCCCCTTAGAGACGGAGCTTCATCAGCTCTTTATTTCAGCTCTGCAGGAGTCAAACCCAGACTCTTCATTTAATGCAGCAAATAAATGTCAAAATGTGTAAATTGGGGACATTTTTCTCCACTGTGCCTGCTGCTAACATGTTCTTATTCTAAATGAAAATTAGCTCCTTTCATTTTCAACTTTGATGCACTTCTGCCATCTTCTGGCTGTTTTTGGTATTGGAGTTTCAAAAGTCAAATTTAGTCTTCAATCATTCATGCAATCTCTGATCCCACACCCCCCCTGGCATGGCTTGAATTTCAGGCTCAAGATCTTTTTTTGCTTTAATCTCTGAAATTCAAATTCTATAAATGATGAAAATTAGTGATGACATCACTGAATATCTCGATGCCTGCACGGATTTCTGTTGTTCTGCCACGAGTGTTTTGGTTTTTATTTTGTTTGTTATATATATAATCAATCAGCCCAAGAGTGCAGCAGCTGACCGGCAGTGCACAGTGGGGGAAGGGCAGAGTTGGGCTTAATCTAACACTTGAAGCGTGTTTTTTTTCTGCTTCCAGTTTCCCAGAGTTTAAAGCCGAACAGCAGCAACAATCATCAAACTAAGGCAGAGAAAGTGTCGGCTGATAGTAAAGGCAGTAAACGGTGTCCCTGTGTTGCAGGGATGGAGTGAACGAAGGCATCCAGTGGATGGTGAAGTGTGTGATGAGGAACATTCACCGGCCGCCCAGACAGAAGGACATCACCTAAAGCTCCGCCCACTCTGGAAGTGAAGGACTCCTCCAGTTTTTCACACTTCTTTGTTGAAAGCATTTGTTGTCGCAGTGTGACGGTGCAGGCTATACAAACATCCACATGTCACGTCTTATATGAACACTTCAAGTTTTCACGACTTCAGGCGGGGCCCTGATTCTTCTTTCCATGAATTCATGACTTTACTGTACAATGAAACTGGTTGAAATCGTTGGGCTGTGGGTTTAAATAAACGATTAAAAGACTTAAACAGAGACAATTTTTTTGTACTTTCTTTGTAAAAGTATGTCACCGAATGGCTCTGGCATAGAAACCGCCTTCAGCGCCCGGCAGCGGACGCCAGCTGGGCTATGTTGACAAACCTCTGCAGGGACCCAGCTGCCATTGCACAGCAGAAGAGAAGCATACAGGTGTGGTGTTGTTCACCACTGGGTGATCTCATTGAACATCATAGAAAACAAACTGATTCCATTACAATTAACTAAAGATATTGAATCCAAACATGCTTCGATAAACAGTCTCTGAACTGAATTCAGATCATCGAAAAAAAAAAAAACATTTGTTATATGATATTGTGACAAAGTGGTTTAGTTTGTGTTTACCACTTGTCCCTTATTCCTGCTTCTGATTTGTAATGCTTAACTTTAAACATTAGTTTGCAACTTTGACTTTCACTTACTATCCCGGGTTTGTTTGTGTTAGCATTATGTTGCAGTTTCCATCTACATATGTTTAGGTTAAAACTATTACTTCAGGATTATTGGATTAAATTGTTATGTTTCAAAGTATATTCATGGTTTTTGTTTTCCTTTTTACTTACCATTATTTAAGTATTTCCTGCTAAATTGACTAAATTATGTCATCCATTAATTTGCAGGATTCTACCATTTAGAGGGTTTCCTTTAGAGTTATGCTTTGTTTGTTTTTCTTTAAAGTAACTTTTTGAGTTATCTGTTTATTTTGCAGACTTTTTCTTTATGTAGAGGAGTTTGTAAATTAGATGAAGTTTATTCTTGTTTCCCTGTTTAGACTGTTTTTTTTTTCCTGTTTAATTGAGGCTTGGTCCAATCAAGTGCAGGTGTGTTGCCACTTGATTATATAAGCCCTGAGCTCTTGGAAGCTCGAGGTGAAATGTTTTGTCTGAGAGAAAAGGAATAAAAGACAACAGAGAAACTGGAACCGTTGGCTGAAGCTGTTTTTTTGGTTCACCTTTTTGACCCTCGACCAAACTACTTCACAGATATCAATAAAATGAGTTTCTGGTGTTGATTTTATTAAAAAAGGTTTTTTGGAAACTAAACTTGAAGGAAACTTGAACCCCAGTCGGCTTCAGCAGATGGCCGCTCACCTCGATCCACTGAAGATTTCCAGAGGAATTCACCGTTGAAATTCACCAGAGCTATAGTGAAACTGACAATGCCCACGTGCATGGCAGCTGGATGTTCTGCTGGAGGTTTCTTCTTGTCCAAAGGGAGTTTTTCCTCTCCACTGTCGCTACAAGTGTGAGGGGATTGCTAAAGAGTCAATGAGTCGATGCAATCATCTGGTTTTTTTCTTGAACTGGAGCTATAGAAATGACATGAATTGAAAACAAAGTCTGAAGTTTCAAACATGACTACGGAGCTGCTGGTGGGCTGGACTCACAGACAAGGACAAGATGAAGGCATCTATTCTGGTGCTGCAGGAGTGACATCATTTAAAAGTAAACATGGCCTGATCTTTGTTAACATTACTTTGTGCTCTTCAGGTTTCCTCCTAAAATCAATCAAAACTTTAGTCTGATCATTAAGATAAACACAGCCGCTGGTGTTCACCATCATTAACTTCAATAAAGTTAATGATCACTAAGCAGCACCTAAATTCCCTTTCTTAGGGCAGTGTACTTCATGATCAATCTTTGTTCCCTGCTCTAAAATGTGTTGAAATAGCACAAAGCCTTGAGGTGGCCCAGTGGAGCTGCATGCTTTTTTTTATTAGAAAAAAATCTGTTTAAAAGAATAGGTGCAACTATATACAGCGAACAAAAAGAATAATCAAACATTGTTATTCATTTACAGAAAAAAACACACATAAAGAAACTCATTACAAACCCATTTCAATCTGAAAAACTCACACAGAGAGAAAAGATAATTAGAAGAATTTATTGATAAGAAAGTATAGTCTTTGGCGCTCAGACCTCGGCAGGAACGTTCGTGCTGAATTATGCTTTAACATACATGAGTAGATGAATGTGAATAGGGATGTTCCCCCCCGGCCTGAAACTGGTGGTGGTTTGATCCGAGCTGGTTGACGAGGTGATCTGCTGGGCAGAACTGTGGGACTAGAAGACTGAGGGAGCTGACACTGGGGCTTCACTCAGACTCGGGATATAGAGGTCCTGCTTGGTGATGCAGGTACCGTGAACTGTACATGATGAGCAAGCATGAGCGACAGTGGAGAGGAAAAACTCCCCCTTCGGAAGAAACCTCTGGCAGAACCGGTGTAGGTACCAGATTGACTCGGGCTGCCAGATTGACTCGGGGGCCTGCGCCTTTTGATGACATCATAATATGGCAACTCCGCCCATCACTATATGGGAACGCCTCTCGTAACGATATGGCAACTCCACTCAAACAAACTACATTGCGCCCGCGGTCTCTATTTGTCACAAATCTATATTATTTAGCCAATAAACGGTAATCGTTTGGCACTGTCCAAACGATTTTAGTTTGTTTGAGTGGCGTTGCCATAATGTGACGTCATCGGGAGGCGCAAGGCCAATGGCGAATTCGGTGACGTCATCGGAAGGCGCAGGGACCATGGAGAATTTCTTCGTAAAATTGTCCGTTTACAAACCGCAATCCCGCTTTCGAATAAAACCTACACCCCGCTATAATTACTTTAGTAAGCTGTCCAGACCAATCACAATGTTTTGCGCAATTGTGCAAACGTTAAAACAATTGTGTATTGTGACGTCATCAAAAGGCGCAGGCCCCCGAGTCAATCTGGTACCTACCTGCTCAACATGGTGGTCTTCTGCCGGACCAATGCGATGAGACGAGGGATGGTGACAACTGGGATTAATACTCTCTGATGAGGTTGAGGTGAAGTCGTGTCATGGAGGACGATTCAGCTGCGATGGCGGAGAAGGGGATGGAGGTGGGTGAATTGTCGTCTGAATCGAAATCCGACATTGCGATTGCAGGATAGCGGCTGGGATGAGGATTTGAAGGAGTTTATAAAGTGAAAGCAGGACGCTGATTGGGCTTCGTGATGGAGTAGTTCGAAGCTGCTTGGCTCGCTTCGGCGATGGATCAGCTTCTGATTGGATGGAGGTAAGTCAGAGTTTCTTCAATTGAACTTCCGCTAGAGCTTCATTTCAACAAAAATGCTTTCGCTCTTAATTATCTACAGTGAAAAAATTAATGTTTATGCACAAAATTAATCAGATTGTCCAGTCCTGAAAATATTTGCATTCGCTAAGCAGTCCAAAAATGTCCTGAGAAAGTTTTTTGTCGATGATTGTGAGTGTTTTCCTGTGATTTGGAAAAAGTCCTATGAACAGTTTTCAGCAATCCAGTGACTCATTTTCAAAAAGTTTATAATTCCTGCAAATGTATACTGTCTTGTCTTGTATAGTGTCTTGCGAGAGAAAGGATTATATTGCTTAAGGTGTGCAGATGAAAAGAGTGTTGTCTTTTTTTCTGTGTTCCGAAAAGTCATATCTACGGAGCCCCTCTGATGACATGGTCAAAAAAATGTTTAATTGTGGCCACGAAGTAGTATTTCGTGGCCACGCAATAAGTATAACGTAGGGTGACCAAACGTCCGTATTTCCCGGAACATATCCGTATTTCACGTCCTGTCCCGGGCGTCCCGGGTTTTTTTTTAGAAAGTGAGGAAATGTCCTGATTTCACTGCGCACGACGCTCCGTGTGACGTAATCCCTGAGCCGCGTCTGTTCGAAAACCTAGGATGCATCCTCCAAGGACGCGGTCTACCTAGACTGGATCCTTCGAAGTCCTTGAAAATAAGGAGACCAGAAGAGTTTAGGCTGTAAATTCGAACAGGTCCACCCTTCGGCGGGTTTTACCGCCGTATGCTCTGTTGCTTAGCAACCATGAAAGTTGACACACAAAGCAGGAAAAGAATGAATACCGAGGTTTTCAAAACTGTTTGTTTATTTATTTATTTTTTTAAAAGTTAAAGTGAACAAAGACTGATGAGAATCCAGAGTGGAATAAAGGTTCCAACCAGCGGGAGCAGGAACAAATCAAATCAAATGTAATGATAGAAACCTTAGTCAGTTAAATAACCTGCTGCTGTCATTCTGCACATCTCTGATGCTGCTGCTATTTTCAAATATCCATTACTGTAAAAATGTCCATAGCTGCATATTGGTTATTTATTCTCCAGTTTTATATTGTTAAAACACTTTACAGTATTTTATTGTTTATATTTTAACTCTTCCCTATTATGTTATTCTCATACATTTTTCTAAGGTCCTCATTTGTGTGACCATTTTCAATAATCTTTCTGCTGCTGTAAATTTCCCCATTGTGGGACAATAAAGGGATTTTCTATTCTATTCTATAAAAGGGGTAGAAAGATATAAGTAAATCTAAATAATATATTTATAAAAAATATATCTGCAAAATCTCTAATATTCAACAACAAAAATACTTAGTTAAGCATATTGTGCAAAACAACAATAAAAAAATGAAACTCCTATCAGATTTATAGTCCCCACCCTGCAGATCTATTAGAATCTGTCCTTAAATTACAGCCAAACCCATTTACACAGTAACAGATAAAAACCTTTAGATAAATCAAACATTACCGCCACATATCTGACTCAATAACCATTAAAACAACTAGTAACTAGTTACATTTCCTCTCATCACGGAGCAAATCCCGATGATGAGACATTTGTTCTTTCAAACAAACCACACCCCACAAACCACCCCCCACCCCCCATCCCCCCGCCGCCCCGCTCCGCTCCAAGGTGTCCTGGTTTTCCCAAATGAAAATATGGTCACCCTATATAACGTGCACACAAAATACTTATTAACCCCTAGAACCCTACGGACCCACCGGTGGGTCCAGCTGCCACGTGACCTCGTAATTTTAACAAACCCCCAGTATTGATGTAAAAAACACATTTGGCACAGTTTGGTGACATTTTTGGATAAATGTGCCAAAATGGCCTCTCCGCCTAAGAAATGTCTCACTAATACCATTCTAAAATAAATATGATTCATCTGATTGAGTCCAAAT